AACCAAAATCTTCATCCAGATTACCAACAACAATGATACAAAGATATTGAAGAGCTCAGTAGTCATTTTTTACAGGTGTCACTGGTATAAAACAGCTCTGAGGACTATGCAAGTCATCTACAGATCATATAAAAAGATTAATAAATAAATACATGCTTCCCAGCAACAAATGCTTTCTTATTGAAACAAAAAAAGAGAAAAGTAATTGTTTGACAAGAAAAATATGCAGTGATGAAGATCACCTGCAGCCGAGCCATCCTTTCTTCTCTGCGTTGGGCAATGGCTACATACAGGGGTTTCTTTCCTATCATCTTTCCATTCATTTCACTCAACTGAAAATAAAAATTGGTGGTAACAAATTAATATACAAAAACTGCAAATGTAAAAGGCCAGATGGCTAGATCTAATTAGCAATTAAAAACTTACAGCTCTTGAAGCTTCCTCAGGTGTAGAAAATGCAACAAAACCAGAGCCCTTACTCAACCCTTGTTGATCAACCATGACCTGGAAGGAATATCAGCACATGAATAACAAAATTGAATTTATTTGCATGGAAAAATAACCCAGTTATCACTTCCAAAACAACTGCACTGTAACAATTACTTGTAAATAGATTATACCTTGCATGATGTTATAGATCCAAACTCAGAAAATAATTCCTTCAATCTTTCTTCGTCAATGGTGTCGCCAAGATTTTTTAGGTAGAGATTAGCAGCCTTCATTTTCTCATATCTGCTATTTCTTTCCTGTTCAAACTTGGCTTTCAACTCTGCCTCCCTTTCTCCTTTCCTTTGGGCCCTTCCAACATACCAAACCTTATCACTGAAGGTCATCCCATTCAACTTCTCAACAGCGGCAGCAGCAGAATCTGGGCTCTGGAAGGTCACAAAAACAAAACCTCTGGATTTCCCATTTTGGTCCTTCATAACAATTGCACCGGTGATGGCACCATAACTGCTGAAAATTTTCTTAAGGTCCTCGTCAGAAGTTGTCTCAGACAAATTCTTAACATAAACATTAGTAAATTTTGGTGACCCATTAGCCTCAATCCTTTCTAGACGTCGAACAAAAGGTCCAACATAAACTTCTCTATCGTTTACCAACATGCCATTCAACCGGTTGATTGCACTCTGAGCATCTTCCTCGTTTTCAAACTGTATGAAGCCATAACCTTTTGATTGGCCATTGTTGTCAACAGCTACTTTGCAGGAAAGGACAGGCCCAAAGGAAGCAAATGTTTCGTGCAAAGCCTTGTTATCAATTTTAGTGTCGAGATTCTTGATAAAGACATTTGCATGTCCACTTCTCCTTGTTGTAGGATCACGATGAGAAAACATAATTCTGATAGGTTTCCCATTCAAAGGGGTGAAGTTCAGAACCTCCATTGCTTTTGCAGCTGCGGTTTGCAAAATGACAATCAGGGTCAAAATGCTAAGAAGTTTGTTTTGTTAGCAAAACGATTGAGGAAAAATGGTGTCTGCCTCGTATTTCCAGTCGCAAAGACATTATATGCACACACAAACTTGAATTGACATCATTTTCAATGTCATTGAATTAACATGTGCTACATTCAAAGGGTGTGAGGGAGGGTGCCGGAGAAGAGTATCAGAAACATTGGATAAACTAGCACAACGATTGAACTAACATGTGCTAAATTCAAAGGGTGTGAGGGATCGTGACGGAGAAGAGTATCAGAAACATTGGATAAATCCCAGAAAAATCTTTTTTTAATAAAGGGAGTTGTTATTCACTTTGGCTGGCATTTATCAACTCTGCACAAAAAGTTTCTGAAGGATAAAAAAAACTAAGATACAAGAAGAAAAAAAAGCAAGCATCAATTGAAGAACTCCAATCTCTTCTAGAAAAAAAAAAAAAAGCAACCATCAATTGAAGAACTCCAATCTCTTCTCTCCATCTTTGCAGTAAAAAAATGACCAGATTGATCTTAATAAATAGGACACTACAAAAACATTGGCACCACCCACTCAAAAAAATTAAAAAACACACAAGCTGATCACAACAACAACAAAGAACACTCGAATTAACAACTAGAAAAGCTGCAGGACAATAAAAATATATAAAATTTAATGAAAAAACTTGAATAAAATTGTCAACACTGATGCATGCACTCACACCTTGACTAACACGTGAAAACAGATTGCTATCACAGAGAAAACAACAAAACAAGGGCCAAAGAATCGTATAAATGGGAAGAAAATTACCATCTTGAGGATTGCTGAAATTGACATAAGCATAGCCGAGCGAGGTTAGCCCAGCCTGATCCCTACAAACCCTAGTGGAAACAACCGGCGCCACCTGGCTAAAGAGATCAAACAGTTGTCCTTCTTTGACGTTATGCTCCAGATCCCCAACGTAGAGCGACCTGTTCGGAAACTGTTCGGCTGCAGGCGTTTCCGCCGCAGGAGCAACCACTGCCGCCGTTTGATCCGTAACCACTGGAACCACAACCGCTGCAGCCATTGTTTTCTTTCTTCTCTCGCAACGGAAAGAATAAATTGCAAAAAGTATATATTTGTAGAGTGATTGGGGACAGATGTAAATAGAGAAAATAGGGTCGGCTGCGTAAACGGAATTGAATTCTTTATTTTTATGTTTTATGTTTTATTTTTTATTTTTTTGGGTTTGTTTCCTCTTTAGAAAGGGAGAAGTGGAGGGGAGCTGGGGGAGAGGATGGAGAGGGAGGCAGCGAGCGTTATATATATGTGTGCGTGGGGAAAAGAAAGGGACTTGAACCGGGTTTTTTTTTCTCCTTTGGGTTGGATTCCTTCAGGAAGTTAAAAAACATGTGAAGAATCGCACGTGTGAGCTGTTGCTGGTGGAAGAGTCCATGCGTGGCATTCGAGGCCTTGTTTGTGGGGATCCTCTCCCTGCAAGTTGTTTCTCTTCTTTCTTTTTGGATGGATTTTTTATTATTTTTATTATTTATTTTTCTGTGACGTCACGTTGGTGATCTTACTTCTGGAAGTTTACTGGGAATATGGAGAGCAGAATTGAAAAATAAAAAAACGAAGGGAGAGTAAACGGGTGATTTTTTTTATTGGTGGGATCCCATGATCAATAATCGGGAAAGAAATACATATTGTTAAACAAACATATGGGGCTGAAAAGTCAAGAATATATAAATAAATATGTTATTAAAATAACTTTTGAGTTAATTTATATACTTTCAGAGGCATTAGGTACATAAAAACTTGTTTTTATAAATAATTTTTTTATTTATAAAATATCCTTATAAAAAATAATTATAAATTTATTCAACTAAAATATATAAAAATAAAATATTTATTATTATAACTTTAAAAATATATAAATATAAAAATGTCAACTCTCTAACAACCTTGTGTTATTTAAAAAGATTTTTCAAAAAAAAAATAATGAATTTTTTACTCTGCTTTACCCTATGTTAATCAATTTACATGTTAACTTGTGTTTTTTTATTGAATTATATTACATCACTATTTAATTTATTTTTTAAATTAGAATCAAGATCTAAAATTGTCTTAAACTCAGTGCCAAGACCATCCAGGATTAATAGTTAGGATTACTAATTTCAACACTCGATGTAAACTAAAATAACAATAAAAAATAACATTTAATTATTTTTAAAGAGTATATATAAATTTGACAGTGTTATATATCAAAAGACAAACTAAATTGTTTTATAATTTATTTTGTCTTGATTATCATTAATCAAATAAAAATATAGAGACAATTAATATATCTTATACACCAATATTATATATAATTATATATTTATCTCTTATTTATATTGTGTCCCAACTCTCATCATCTTTTTTATCGTGATACAATAAATAAATGCTATTACAGTGATAAATTTAGGTTTATAATGTCATCAAACTTAACTTAGCAGTTCAATATAAAAATCACTCTATCAAGCTCTTGGTTTAGTTGGATTTCAAGTTAAATGAAGTGGAAATTGATTTAATATGTTTGAATGACTTAGCTACTTTAAATGTGATATAATAAATTTGAATTAGCTTGAAACATTAGTATTATTTGAGTTTTTTATATATATCAAAATGATAATAATTTATATTAAGTCGGGCTAATTTAAATCAATTTTTTTAATTAACAATCTAAATTATGAATCTAATTAGATTTAATAATTTTTTTTTAAAATAATACTTTTTATTTCATTATGTGACAGGTAAAATCCACGTCAACAGGAAAGCCACCAAATAAAAAACAAGAAGAAAACACATGGTGGAGAATTGTATTAAAAAAGTGCTTGTTAAAGATAAAAAAAATTATTACAACCTCATTATAAAAAATTAAAGATGGATTGATATTTGATAAAATAATATCCAAAAAATTCAAATTTTATAATAAAAATAGAAGAAAGGATGGCCAGGCACGTGTTCCTTATTATTTTTTTCTATTTATTAAAATGAGTGAACAAAATTTTGTTTATTTATTAAAAGAAATCAGATAACACGTGGTTTACAATCATTAACCAGATCAATTTTGTCCATTTCAAGTGGTTACAAAGCAAGCTCCGCCTTTTGGTCTCATAAAACTTACATTCTACAATTTTTTTTTATATCTGACCTCTAAATAATATTTAATCGATAAATACATAATATAAAAAAAAAAAATAAGCAGCTCCCAAATTTAGCTTTGCTGGCAATATCAAGGGCAAAACACTCAAATGTATCTTCTCATGTCAAATAAAATCTATCACACAAAAATTGACCTTTTTGGTTATCAAGAAATGGATAATTAACAGTTTTTTATTTTTTTTTAATTTCATTTTAAGACGGAAAATCAATAAATTTACGACAAATCAGAACAATAAAGCAGTCTTGACTCGGAACTGCGCCTTAAGCACGACTCAGGTAAATGGCACTGAGCCGACAAACTCACTCGGCCCGTGCATATCCCCTTCTCTTGCCGATTTTACAATCTTAACCCCCACTCCTTTAGCGATGACGTGGACTCAGCCTCTCCACGGGTCTCTCAGTCAAAGAAAGAAACGAAGCAGCTGCATTCAGTCTTCCACGTCTCCGTCTTCCCCTCTGTGGCTTGTAGAGTAGAATTGGAGAAGACAGTATTCTGCAGGGAAACAAAAATGGCAATTCCTTTAGCAAATGGCTTAAGAGCACTCTTCTCAGTGTTGGGCTGTTTAATGGTGGCTACTCTCATCTACACCATCTACGTCGATGGCTTCCCATTTCGCAGAGACCTCCTCACCCCGTAAATAAAACTCTCTCCGTGTCAAATATTTTCTTTCCACTTTCAGAGTTTTCTAAGTAGATGAAAATTATAAAATCTGCTTGCTTTCTCATTTACGTTGCAGGTGGATGGCCGCTACTTTAGTTGATTTCTACATCAATATTATAGCTTTAGCGGTACCACTTTCCTTCTCTTCCAATATACATAGTCTTTGCTTCCTAAGATTTAAGAATATGATACGTGCTTCAACTGAGAGGATTCCGTGGTGGTTATTAGGCTTGGATTTCCTACAAGGAATCGAACTTTATTACTGCAACAGTTTGGATAGTTCTGCTAATATGCTCCGGAAGGTATTTTTTATGGTTATTATACTTTAATTATTGTTCCATTAAGTGCAAATCCCTTTGAGAAATTAATTCAAATGTGGTGGTGGTTGTTAATAGAAATGGATGTGGTGTCAAAAAGTCATTTCTTTAATTAAGGCTCGCCGAGTAGTGTCAGGATTTGTTGTTTAATCATTTTGTGTTTTGTTCTATATCTTCAGCATTGCAACGTGCGCCTACATTTTTATTCAACTTCTCAAGTTGTCGCCTGAAGAATCTTTGCAAGACCCGCTGTATCATGTACTATTGCGGCACGAAAACAAGTATGTGATTTGAATTTCTGATTCTAGAATTACGCTCTCATGCTGGAGTGTTGTTAAAATAAGGAAGTAAGGCTGTAGCCCATATATGATTTGGAAGTTATGCCCGTTTCCATTCCCCCCCCCCCCCCCCCCCCCCATCAGTTCTGCTTTTGCAGTGGTGGTTGTTCAAAGCTTGTGTCTTCCGTGTGTATGTGTGTTGCTTTTGTAGAAGCAGATAAGCATGTGCTTAACCACTCCTGACCTAATTCGATGCCCTGAATCAGTAACCTTTGGATCATGGTAAAAAGTAAGCTCCAATGTTTATAATTCAACTCAAACATTTTAGTTTCGTATCTGGCAACTGTAGCCATGACGCTAAGCATGCTGCAGCTTGGTTTTATTTTTTTTGTTCACACCCCTTTGCCTGATGATGGAAGCCTGAATGCTACTGTTCATAAGTAAAAACTTTATTCCATGTGTGGGAATCGTAATGTGTTGAAGAGGGGAATTTTTCTTTGAAACTGGAGGTTTTCCTTCATAGACATCAACAGCAGTCTGGATGGTGATTTACTGTTTAAAAGGGTCGAACTTCTTGATGGGTAAACAGCTATTTTAGAGTTTTGCTGCTCTGATTCTTAATGCCGTTCTAACTGGATACAAAGGAATCTGTTGGAAGGAAGAGAATATCTTCCATACCACCAGTACATGATTCTTTGAAATCTTTTTTTTTGGTTATTATGTTTTAGAAGTTTATTCACAACTCATATAAAATAGATTCAACAAGCTCTACAGATCTCACCCGCTTTCCCTTTTTGTAATAGTTGCTCATGCATTGACAAACAGACTTACTTATAGGGGTGTGGAACAAAAGACAAAACAATCTGCTGTTGTGACTGCAAGGATTGCTTTCAGCATTCTGGGTCTTCTGATGCTGGGAACTTTGATTTACACTTTAATAACTGATGGTTCTCCTTTTCGCAAAGAGCTTCTTACTCCGTAAGTTTTCAGTTTCCTTCTATACTTGCCCTTTCATTTTCTCCCTTGGTTGACTATGCTTGGTTGACTATGTTATTAGATAAAGGTGGTTATCTAGTTGAGTCCTTGTCCTCATGGTTGAAAAACATGAGGTGCTGAATCCAATCACCTTGGGGGGTAATGAAAGCCATGATGAGCCTCGTTTCTATTAGAAAGTCTTCTTATTGGCCTTTGTTTTGGGTGGGGCAGGGCAGAAAGCTACGAAGAGGTTTCTCTGTTTCTTTAAGATGATGTTGTTTGTTTCTAATCATTGGTATTTGTTTAATTCATCAGAGATATTTGGTAGTTTGTTATCTTCTATAATACTGATTGTACATGGCATGCTTGCAGTTGGATGGTTGCAACACTAATTGACTTCTATATCAATGTCGTGGCTCTTTCGGTAGGTGGAATTATTTTGGTTACATTGTTCTGCTCCTTTATTCTTGAAGTTAATTTTAAGACCTTGATATAGTTTCTACCGAAGCCACAAAAGGTTCTCTAAAAATGATTCTTTTTCACTAGCTTCTTTGACATGTGTGATTCACGGGTACTTGGATAGATTTCATTTTTTCAAGAAATTCATAAAAGTTGTTTGCGGAGAGGAAGCACAATGATACAAACCCTTGTGCGCTTGTTTCACTCTTCACAATTTCACAAGATTCTGACTTTCTTTAAAAAATTTGTTAAAGATCTTTTGGGATATTAAAGTCTAGTGGTGATTTGATTTACCGAGAGAATCATAGTAAATTTTGGGTTTTACTAAATATCCTTGTGCATTTTCTTTCAAATGAACAGTGTCGTTCCTTGTGAATTTAGGTTTGGGTTGCCTACAAGGAATCAAGTTGGATCAGTGCATTCTTATGGATATTGCTATTGATTTGCTTTGGGAGGTAATATCTCGTCCATAGCCTGATTCTCAAATATAAAGGATGATTTGCTTTGGCTGTCAAGAGAGTCAAAAGTCGCCATATGTATGATCTGCAGTTGCTTTACGTAATTTTAAATCATCTGTCCATTTGGGATGCAGGAATTTTCAGACACATGCCGAAGAGGAATGAAATTTTAATTGATAAAACGATATTCACCTTTTTGCATTTTCCTTCCATGCTATTCTTTTGGTGTCCAAACCGAGTCTCACACATAGTATGTGATTGTTGATGTAATATGAAGTATAAATTGCTATTTGCATGTTTTTTTTATGAAAATGTTTGGTCATCAGGGATAAAAGAATCTAGCAGATATTTGGTGAAAATATATTTAATGAATCTAAAATAAAATGTTGATTTGTAAGCTACTTTGCACACATTTCTTCTATAATTATCTTCCTTTTCTTTTCAAGTCCAAAGCTGATCGTTCCATATCTTTTGAAAGTACTGATATTTCATTCCTACAATATTCAGCATTACTACTTGCGCCTACGTCGTCAAACAGCTGCTGCAGCTTACTTCTCAAGATCCAGTTTACTTGATCTTATTCAATAGAGGCAACAGGCAAGTCTAGTACACTTTTCTGTGTTCTAAATTCTTGCAGTGGTTCTGGGTTCAGTATTATGGGTGGCAGGTTGAGGAGTATGAACATATGATCATTTAGTGATTTGTTCACGCTGATGTTTCGACATATACAATCACATTATGGCAGAAAATTGGGGAGGTTAAATGTTAATTATAATGGTCTTGCAATTGAGCTAGCAAGCATCAAGATTCTAATTTCTCCTTCCAAGAACCTGTGTGTTACTAGCTTTTGTTTGCGGAAAGATTTGGAAATTAACTTGCTGTGTTCATGAACTGTTTCCACAGCACATATTTTTTGTATTATTTCCTGAAAGCCGCACAGTTATGTGTCCATGGTAGGGCAGAAAACAGGTATGAAAGGACGTGAAACTCATCTAGACGACAGGAGTTGACGGACATGAAGCTTATATCCCATTCTGGTGGGCACATGTCTTGGACTTTTATGACAGGGTGACTGCTTATGAATGACGCGAACAATTGTAGACATATTCATAAATTGAATCATGATTGTACTACAAAATTACAAACCAGAATTTATATTTGTATAAACCTCGTGAATTGTTACTTCTATTATTTTTTAAAATATTTTTTATTTAAAAATTAATAAAAATATTATTTTTTATTTTTTAAAATTTATTTTTGATATTATCATATCAAATAATCTAAAATTACTATAAAAAATTAATTATAAATAAAAAATTTAATTTAAAAAAAAACATGTCTAACTTATCCATAACTATTTAATTTAAAAATAACAAAACCCTAAATTTAATGGGTTTGGTGGGGTTTGCCTAGAATTATCCACTAGAACCACCCGTAGATTTTATTTTATTTTGAATTATCTCCTTGAAAAATTATTTATAGGAAAATTAGTATGGGTTATGACTTTATTTATTTATTGATCTTCATATATTTTTTTGA